TTTTTTCTTATAGTAGACATTTCAAAGAATATTTTCGTAAAAAAATAATTCATTTATGTATTTTCATTTTGTTTAAAATTAATTTTAACCTTAGCGTTCCCGTTATGCCCCGGGTTCCCCTAATTATTTCAGTGCACTTTTCGGTTCTCACACGGAGAGAATTTTCTTTTGAAATTTATCCTGAAAATTATATAATCGCGGGGCCACGCGGCATTTCCCAGAATTTTATGAGTCTTTCGAAACTTTACCATATATTTCATTAGTGATTAATAATTAAATTCTCTCTCATAAAAACTCTCTCAAAACTTCACGTTGTCTCACAATGACGTGACTTTTAGGATAAATTTTGTCGCGCATATCTTTAGAAAAAAACTTCTTTTTAATATTATTAATTAAAGTTATTAAGTTATTGTTAAAATTTGCATTGCTTTGAACATACTTCGTACGAACAGAAATCATATTTTATCTCTCGCTTCTTTTCCCCCTAAAACAATAGCATTTTAAATGTAAGGTCTTCTTAATATCGTACGTGATGCCTTCAAATATTTTACATGCTTCTATCATCTTTTTCGTTATATAGATGATCTTGAGAGATCTTTCATGTGTGCTTAACATTCTTACTTAAATACTTAAATTTTTGATAACATTTCTTCGACATCCGAAGTTTGGAAAAGCGTTCGTGCAATATGCAACTCTGGTCATTATCAGTAAATTACGCCATGCGTATGTACATATAGAGGTGATCACTTGATTCTTTCAAAGGTTATTAAATGCAATTAGTACATAGAAGGAATTTTTTCTTAAAATTTATCCTGAAAATGATGTAATCGAGGGTCAACATGGCATTTCGAAGAACTTAATAAGAGTTTTCAGAAATTTTACTAGACTTTCACTCTGGGAAAAAAAAGTCAGTTACAACCCATTTTGGGGCCCACAATTAGTAATCGAATTATTTAGATTGTTCGTAACTCTAATCTTTTACGAATTTTATCTCGCGTAACTAAAAATCACAATTAGCTGTTCTATCTATATCCAAGATATTAGAGTAATACTAATCAATACTCTCAATTAGTTCTGTCGATATTCAGTAACGCAAAGATAATTTTCACTTAAGTGGCAATAACCGAAATGTTAAGTTGCTTAACTACATAAAAAAACGGTCAAAATTTTTTCCAAAGTAGAGTTACGAACAATCCAAATAATTCGATTACTAATGGTGGGCCCCAAAATGGTTATAACTGTCTTTTTTTCCCAGAGCAAAATTACTAGAATTTTAGAAGACTCTCATGATGGTCTTCAAAATGTCACGTCCCACGATGACATGGTTTTTAGGATAAATTTTAAGACATTCTCTCCTTGCAGTATCACATAATTCTGCAAGGGTTTAATGCAAAATCCGCTACTGGTAAGTGAGGTATATTATGTCGGCAGAGTACGAACGTTCG